GAAGATGGCCACAATTCCATGCAGAGTCAAATATTTGTACTAGTAGAGCCATAGGCATGGCAGTCACAAGGAGAGAGGAGAGTCAGAACTCTGACTAGCAATTTGGGCAGCAAACACAGCAGTAGTAACAAGAAATGCTGGCTGAAGCGACTGTCGGCTTCAGCCAGGGAGGTTTTATGTTGCATTTTGCTAAGCAAGAACCACCAGAAAGTTGTGAGCAACGGCGATGCCATAGGCGCCTGCAGAAATATGCCCGGGATTGCGAATGGACAGAAGGGTAGATCAAGGCCATTAAGACATTTACAGCAATGTACACAACATCAGAAATAACCAGCAGGAAACGGTAGGCACTCCTCTGGCCATGAGTTGCTTCTGGAGCATTGCATGTAAAAGGGAGCTGGACACGTAGCATGTTCCCTGAAGTCCAGTCTTCATGCTTCTGGGAAGGGCTTCAGGCATTTGGAAAGGGAACCTGATGAAATGCATTACTGGTGACTGAGTCAGCAGGTTTACTACCGAGTTTCATTAGTGAATGCCTCCCAATATTTAGCAACTACAGTGTCTTTGAGGGAAAAAAGGACCGGCTTCCCTAAAAATCAAATCCTCCCTGAGGGACAACTCGCAGAAACATGAGGTCAAACCCTCCAGCTGGTGTTACGGACAAGTAGCAGCAAACCAACCTTCAGCTGGAACTAATTATGGAGAACAGGTTAGGAACCCAACTGGTTTTTCCATTTCTGCACCAATGGGAGACGGCAAATAGCATTTTCTTTCTTCATGAATGAGTGGAGGCTAGAGACAATGCTAACAAATTCAATAACCAATATTTGGGCCATGCCAGTCACAGCATCCTAAGGAAGATATAACAGCTGGAAGAGATCCAAGAGAAGCAACTAAGAAGATCCAAGGGGACTGCTTATCTCTCATCCAAGGACAAACTAAAAAACCTAAAAAGGATTATTATTTCTCAGGCTGGGAAGATGGAAATAAAGGGGGGTGAGTGAGGGGATGTGCGATTAAAGTCTACTCGGGGTAAATATAATTGTATTCACCGAATGCTATAGCACTTAATTGGGGCCATCCCTTGAGGTTAAAGGCTGTAGATCGAAGAGACACTGAAATATACCTCTATGTATTCATGTAGGAATCAGGAAATTTATAGAACTTCTATACTTAAGACAAGGCTGAAGTGGAGAATGGGGAAGTTTTAAGAAACCATTGAACATACTCAATGCCAACTGATTTAAAAGCATCCTAATTTTTATTTTCATTTTTAAAATAAGTGTTCTTTTTAAAAATGTTTTTAGTGATTTTGGAGAGATAGGAAGAGAGAGGGAGAGAGAGAAACATCAGTCGGCTCCAATCTATACGCCCCCTACCAGGGATCAAGCCCCCAACCTGAACAGGCGACCTTTGGGTACACGGGACAACGCTCAACCAACTGAGCCACACCAGCCAGGGCTGCATCCTAATTTTTAAAAATGCAAACGACCAGCTTCATGACAAACGGCCATTGGTGCCTGCATCTGGGACAGAGTCCTGGGCTAGCTGCCCCGTTGCTCTGAGCCAGTGTGCCATTTCTTACGCTCTTATTACGTCATCAATGCGGGAACACACTGTGTGCAAGGCTGGGACTCCTAAATTCTTTTGACAGTCCAGGATACAGAAGAATAATTTTCTCACTGATTAAGAAAGCAAGGGAGTCCTAGCTCTTGGCTCCATTTGGTTTACCCATATGGGAGCACGCAACATGAAAAGGTGAAAGAAATCCTAACAGAATGCAGCAGCTGGTTAAAGGCTATTACATTGAAATTTTCATGAGTTTGACAGTAGGCCAAAAAACTACAAAATGGCAGAGAGTGGAAAAGGCAGTTGTAACAGGTTGAACATTGTTGGTGATTATTTTTTCAGTGGCAATGAAAGCTATAATCAAATAACCTGAAAGAGATGCTGGCAGAAATAAGAGAGCCCCAAGGGAGAGGGAATATGAAAACTGTAACGATGATGTATGCTATGGCCTAATAAACTAGACAAACATGTAGTTTGAAGTATTAAAATCAAGGTTCTTAGCATCATATGGGAAGCTGGTGTCAGGGTGCGAGCATAAACGCTGTCTGATTTGCAGCCCGCAGCGGAAGGTATTGTTAATGACTTACAACCTCAGAGATGAGCGCACAACTCAACAACTAACTGGAAGTGCGCTACCGCTGGAGAAATCTCTTGTTGTCTAGATGATCAGTTTATTCCAGCATTGAAAAGGGGGGAAAAAAACCTGTACAGCATTACGAAAATTCCTACAGAAGACACCTGGCTTTGCGGCTGGAAATGTGTGGCAAGAACTCTTGAATGTAAGGCAAGACAGACAGAATAAGAAAGACGAAAAATGGGGACTGGCTGAAATAATGTCATTGTAAATGTATCATGATTGTTATTTGGGGACCATCGAGGGATCCCAAATTACGAATGGCATTTTCCAGTGCATCAGCTCTACTAATCCTTGTACATGGAAGTAAGGTATTATAAATAGAATCCCTTAGACAACAGGAATGTGGACTAATAGATCACAAATGCTATTAATCTGTCCAATGTATATTTTCCGAACTCTCCCTACATTATAGCTTAACATTTTAGAGGTATATTTGAGGTTTATACAATCCCTATTTTCAAATAAATTGTAGAGAGAATTGGTCTTCCTAAAGTTTTAGAGATATCTCTGAGAAATTATGTGATTCCTCATTTCAAGGAACTGATCACCTCAGAGGATTTGAAGGTCTCCATACTCAGCTTTCTACTGATTGTTCCTGTCTACTGTTTCGTGTCTCTTAACATTATACCAGGGAACATAATAGTTCTTAATTACACACCAAGATGTGAGCTCTTTAAATAGGTACCTGGAGAAATTGGAGTTAGGAGGGCATCATATCTGAAGCTAATTAAACAGTGGAAAAATAGAATTCTTGTGCTTTTTAAAACTAAGTATTTCTATTATGTTAAGAATTAAAGAATTTAAAAGTAAAGATAAACATCTCAGGGAAAAAAGCTGAGATCTTAGGTTTCTGAATTTGGAAAACACCATGAAATGAGTTACACTCATTGATTTTTCGGGCTAAAAGGGACCTTAGGTACCATCTAGTCAAATTCCTTTATTTTGTAAATGAGAAACAAAGATTTGTATAGGTCAAGTGACTTGCTCAAGGCTACACAATCAGTTAATAACAGAGCGAGGAACGGCAAGAGATTAATTTATGGGGGGGTACAGCTTTTCTGGATTTTTTCTCTTTTTTTCTTTTGGTCTGAATTCATTTCTACCTCCTCACTGCAAGGTAGTGGGTGGGATCCTTTGTAGCAGGTATAAGGTCAGGGAGGAGAAGATAAATATTTAAGGATTTAAGGAAAGGACAGTGGGACTGGTGGGGAGGGAAAGAGGGCAACTCTAGGAATCTCCAGGAGACCTTTAATGAGCCCCAAACAAGTGATGATTTGGAGAAAAGAGAAATCTTGGATTCCCAGTCGGTGCTAAACCTTGGCCACAAGTCTTTATTTCAGCTCATAAAGGCTGGATAAAGGGAGCGCTTTATAAATGGGCTGAAGAAGCAGCAGTTCTCAAATCTGAGTCAGAAATGAAAGTTCGTCATGACAAAGACACTGATGTAGAAGATAACTGGGGACAGTTTGAATAGATGGTCTGAATGAAATATATAGTGGATATAAAGCGATACAGTGCATGTCTAAATCAATATATTGTTTAAGAAAACCGGTGACTTAAAACAGGCATTTAAAATATGCAGAGTGACTAAATCAATAACTATATATAACAAAAATAAAGTAAAATTAAAAAATAAGAAAATTAAAAAGCAGGATCAAAGCATATTAAAGGAGCATTTTTAAAGATAAGGGATACCTCGTCTGGAAAAATTTAATAAGATAAACTTTTTCTAAAGGATGTGTCTTTCCCTGAAGAGCCAAAAGAGCCCCCTCACCCCCATTCTTCTGAGTTAACAACATTGAGGCATGAAATCAAATTTCTTGAGAACTGTAGTAATGAAGATCTAGGAGTGCTGTTATTGCTTTAGAACTGAATTATGAAGAATTGATGGGCAGTGGAAGAATAAAAACAGATTTGATAAAAGATGGCGGGCCGAAAAAAATGGAAAAACATTTAATATGCTTTGTCAGACTCCCGGCAGAGGCAAGTTCAAAGACTTTAGTTGGTATCCAGGCCTAGTCCATGAATCTGATTAATTTTAATTGTTGTCGAGGTAGCCGATTCCAAGTGAAATTTCAGTTGCACCCGCACAATTGATGAGACACTGTCGATGTATCATAAAAACTCAACCTCCTCTCTCCCCTCCCTCTTCCATGTGACTCACTGCATCATAATTTGTATTTCAGGCAGCATCCTGCTGAAGGCGCTTCTAAGCACCTGTATGCCTTTGACGGACACAAATGGCCCCAGAAAATGGGATCATTCCCTTGTCCTGTGAGAAATGCTGAGTACTGTATTTTCCAGAATGAACACCTCAGCTCCACAAATCCAGGGGCTGCTGCTGACTGCCTTTTGGGTTCATGAAGTATTTATTCACCTAAAACGGTTTGTGTACACATAGTTGCAGAAACCGTCCATCTTTGTCTGAAGAAGAAATGTAGGGGGGAAAAAACCCCTCAATAGATTAAATTGTTCTGGTAACTATTCACCTCTACTGCCGATAGTATTATCAGCAGCTTTTTGTTCTGTTTTGAAAAATCCACACCACCTCCAATCACAAAACACAACACCCAGGCTGCAGGAAATGGATTTCTCCTAAAGGCAGCTCCCTATTGCATCAGCACATTTTCAGTGGTAATTTGAGCAAGAAGTTGATTATCCAAGCTTCCTTGGGGAAGAAAGAACCAGGGAGTGTAGGCCAGGCTAATGCCACGTTTTACAAAGAAATTCATCTGTGAATGTGCAGATGAGCCACCACGAATGCTCCTTAAAGCATGGGATGCTTCCAACTTACTTGATGTAGTAGGGCACTTTGTTTGGCGAGATGGCTCTCTCCCAGGGCCCCTGGACAGAAGCTGGAAAAAGAAATAAAAAAAGGCAAGGAGGTCAAGTTCACCGCAAACAGGAAAGACAACATTAATCTCCAGAATTACAATTTTACACTGATATTGGTCTGTTTGCTCAGTTGCCCATGAAGACAGGATGGATTAACCGGCTGTTCTGAAGTTTCTGTCCTAATCTAAGTGAAATTGAAGTCATTCAGGCAAAAGATAAATGCAAAGAGAAAAAACACACCTTCCACTATAAGATAAGGAAGCGAATGAGTGAGCTGCCAGGTTTCTCTTACGTGTCTCCACTGGGTGCTTGTCTTATAATATTTCCTGTTGCGTCTCCGCATCTTTTACTATTTGATTGACTGGGTTTTATTAGTTTAGCAGCTGAAACATCGCTCTGTGATATATTTACATTCCAAGTTATTGAAGCTAAAGTACTACACTTATCACTTTGATGTGTTTGTTTTTCTCTTTATTTGGCTTTTACCGATTTCATTTACTGATTACCTGTTTAATTGTAGCCTCAAAACGTCAGCTGACCAGCATGATCTTATTAGAAAAGATAACAAAGTGAGAGAATGGCATCTGATACCAGGATGTAATAAAACCCTTGTGATGAGTGATGAATCCTATAGGTAAAATTAAATCTCAGGTACGGGGAATTCACTTTATAATGACTTTATTGTGTATTAGTCAAATCAATCATCTTTAAACTGTGCTTTAAACGTTTAGGTTTTAGTTTTTTTCTTTCCCAAAGCCGAACTCTAAAAATATCTTTTATACTGTTTAATCTGTGGGTTTGTTGCTTTCTTTAAGACAAAATAATCGTGCTAGGAGGTGTCATAATATTTCCACAACAATAAAATCTTTCGCCTCTATAGACATTTAAGAAACTGGAGTCTGAGAGACATAGAATATCTTCAGGAATATAAATATAAGAACCATTCTTATTAACATCTAGCAATTTCATGTGTCTGCCCATTTTCCCCTGAATTTCCATCCTGCTTATAATTTGAAGCACTGCTGATGCTGACCATTATTTCCTCCGATGAAAAACTCCCTCCTAAATTAGTCTCAGAGAATCCACCCCGCAGTGTACTGAGATGTAACAAAACGTCAAAGCTCAGACATCCTGGACTACGCTGTATAATATGAAAGAACAGCTTCTGATATAGGTTAACTTCGCCTACTGCCGGACAATTTAAGGCTAATGAAACTACAGACTCTTTATTTTATGTTGAGTAATCAAAGGACGGAATCATCCAACCTCCAACCAGAAATGCTGCTTTGTCCCTTGGCAAAATGTCATTAAAAAGATATAGAACGCAGATTTGTATTTAGCTGCTAATCATTCCTTTTCATTTCGGCAGACAGATTTTTAATATGGGGAAAAAGACATTTAGGTGCTGTTTTCAGGTAGTCCCTTGCCTTCTGTCTCTGTCTGTGTGTCCTTTTTGGTTCCTCTCCTGTCTTTTTCATTCTCTGCCCTGCTCTCTCCTCGCGTCTGTTTTTTTTCCTCCAGGTCTCAGCTCTCTTGCCCAGATTAGTTCACAGAGTAAATGAGACCAGATTTGAGGATTCAGGCTGGACTCCTTGTTGCACCTGCTCAGAGCCCGATGTTACAGAAACCTGCAAACCCCAGGCCTCTCGAGCAGGAGACGTGGCCGAGAGGCAGGGTCACAGCTCCAGGCTGCTCAGCACCCTCCTCTCAACATCACAGCATCGGGATGGTGCTGGATGCCCACCTAGGCTTACTGTGGTGATCACTTTGCAATCTATATAAATACCGAACCGTTATGCTGGTCATCTGAAATGAACATAATGGATGTCAGATATACCTCAATTAGAAAAAAAAAGCTCCAAAAATCACAGCATCATGAACAAAAGGCAGCAAACTCCAGAGAGCCTTTAAGCCCATCCTCACTGAGGGTATTACCGAGCCCAATCTGAGAAAAGATAGGCTCCTCTTTTCTTAAAGGTCCCTATGGGCTGGGCCCCACAGTTTCCTTCATCATCACTTTCCAGTTCTTTATTCATTCTAAGGGGTCAGAAAGTCTTTCCGAGCCAGGGGATGCTGGCTGGGTATGTCTGGTAGTGGGAGGGTCAGTTCGGAGTCCCTACTTTCTTCCTAGGATCTCTCAGAGAGAAGTGTGCTGCAGAGGTCTACTGGCTGCCTGGCCTGGCTCAGGGCCTCTCAGCCTGAAAGAAACAACTTTCAAGCCGAAAATCTAGCAAGAGACGGAGGAAAAGCAGTGGTGCCCAGTAGAGCTAATGGCCAGGCCTACATCGAGTATCTATAGCTGACTTTGCAATATTAAACATGAAGAGCAAAAACAAACAAACAAACAAAAATGCTAGAGCAGTAGTCAGAATACGCTTGAACTAAATAGTGGAAAATATTTTAAAAGATACTCTAAAAAATCTTAAGTTCCAGATCAATATGAAATTTTAAGCTTTTACAAGTGGAATACTTAATTGTTAAAAATTTACACAATGCATATAAATTATAGATAAAAATTGTTATTTTTTTTTAAAGTTTTTAAAAAAAAATATCTTTATTGATTTCAGAGAGAGGAAGGGAGAGGGAGAGATAGAAACATCAATGATGAGAGTCACTGATCAGCTGCCTCCTGCAGGCCCCCTGCTGGGGGTCGAGCCCGCACCCCGGGCATGTGCCCTGACCGGGAATCGAACCGCGATCTCCTGGATCCTAGGTGAATGCTCAACGGCTGAGCCACACCGGCTGGGCAAAATTGTTACGTTTTATAAAAGCCTTTCGTCTTTACGTGTAGCTATCAGCTCTAATGGTGAGATTTAGTGAATTTTTTGCGCTGAAAGATGTTTTTGCCATTTGACTCACAGTTTATAAACGTACCTAAGTGACTGCTTTGCAGTCATCATTTGAAACCCTAAAATTTATACTAAAAAAACTCCTCGATGCAAAATAAATAAATAAATAAATAAACAAACAAACAAATAAATAAATAAATAAATAAATAAAATAACAACAGCCTTCCCCCATTCCGCCCCAGCCTCATCACCACCACAGACACACACACCAGAACTGCTTGCTTTAGAAATATACAATCGGACAATGGTTCTCTGCAACTGGATTCAGAGAGATTGTTAGAAGAGTTGTCAGGCAATTTTGCTTGGGGCTGCCAGATAATTCTGGTCTTGCATATATTCAAAGTTGATCAAATATATGGTAACTCTCCTAAGTCTGTCCCAGAATTATCATTGCATTTCTTGCAGGAGTGCCCACGCCAGCAACAGCTGTTTCTTATCTCAGTGCACCAGTGGAGGCTTGTCATCCCTCGCAAAGCTAGCCTACGGAATAGACACACACATCTTTTTTGCCCGATGTGTCCATTTTTAGTAGCCCATCAAAAGCGGATTTATTGGCAAACGGGTTCATATGAAACAGGGCTGTCCATTCGTATTTTCTTACAGAGATGTTTCCATAACCACTACATGTAATTCCAATGCAGCTTTGTGATTCAGATCCTCGAGTGTAAAAGTCATTCATTATCATATGGCACCGGCACCACGGGGGTATTGTCTCCTGAATTTAAACAGCGAGCTACACATGAGTTTATTCCAAAAGCAACCCGTGAGTTCCCCCCATGCAGTTTGTTATTAAGAGCAAGAAAGGGTAGCAATTCTACCTTAAAATGCTTTTCTTCCCTCGAGGTGATGGGATCCAATATTGTGCCCAAGGTGGTTTTGAAAATCACAACAACCACAGGCCATGCTTTGTTTAGAAGTTCTAATTTCAACCGTTTTTAATGCACGACGAACAGAATGCGCCAGGCGACGCACCCCGGTGTTAAGCCATATTTTAATCGACGCAGGGGCCTAACCAGAAAATTAAAAAGATTGCTAATGTTATTCAAACTGTGCCAAAAGAGCACTCTATGGAATTCAGACCCACATACAGGCATTAATCTTTCTACTTTTCTTATATTTGGCAGATTTGGAGTTTGATAACGTAGTTGGGTCAAAAACAGTGGAGGCAGACTATGAAAATAAATATATAGTATTCACTGGAGACAAAACAGAAACATCTGTGGGGTTAAGAAGAGGGCGTTAGGAAGGACTGACTGGCCACTGGCACCTGGCTCCTCAGAAGTGTACAAATTCCAGTAATGGTTTTATGGGCACATTCATCAAGGAGATCTACTCTAGAGCAATGTCTTATTTCCCACTATCTCCTCCATTCCCCTCCACACCTATGTATATTTTTAGACTTTTTTCCCTACTAATCACTCTACCTCTTCATGAAAATTTAATACTACAGATAATGATACATATCTGGTTATGTATTTTATGTATTTTACATAATAAAGTAAGATTTCTTTTGTCCCCCAGGAACCAGTTTTCACACCCTTGGGGGCAATATCACTCCCAGTGAGAATACTTGATCTAGAAGAGGTGTTGGGGGAGGAGATAGGAAAACCTTTAGGTACTTGAAACATGATCTCAAATGGCTTATTTGATATTCATCATGACCTGTGAGGTAGGTATTATTATTTTTATTATTTTGTAGACAATGAGACATTTAAGATCACATGGAATAGCATGTCTAAGGTCCTAAGCCAGTAAGTATTAGATCCTAATTTTTGTTTGTTACTCAGACTGAAGTCAGGAGATTCAGGAAATGGAGAGACAAACATGTTGAGTGCCTACTAGGTGGCCTGCACTGTATGTCCCTTAATGTAATCCCCGAAACACCCTGTGAGGTTACGCGATTCCATTATTACATACGAAGACGCCGAGACTCAGAAATGTTCAGTAAACTAGCCCAGGTCATATGCAGCTAGCAAAGAGTGCGTCCAGGATTGCAACCGGGTCTGTCTAGTGTTTGTGCTTTATTTTATCATGTGTGGTACGTAACAGGTAGTCTATAAATATCTGCCAAACAACTGAGTAAATAAATACATCTTAAAAGGGATTGATTGTAATGTCATCTAGTGCAAGTTCTCTATCCTGTATCTGAATTTACACTCTACATCATTTCC